TCTTGAACGTCTTCCCCAGGCCCCCGCACCCGCTCCCACTCCTGCAAAAAGCAGGAGGAACCCCACCCTACTGGGCTGGAAAGTTTGGGGGGGCGGGACCCATGTGCACTGAACCCCCAAGGGCCAAGGGTTATACGTAGCTTTTGAGGACACCCCCGTGCCCCAGGATCCTGCAGTCTGACCCTGGCCCCTCCCTCCCAGACGCCTCCTGGCCCATAGCACCCCCCGTCCATAAAGCCCTGGCCCCCTGCCCAACAGGACAGGGCAGTGCCCTGGGGCTGATCCTGGTGTGGTGGGGGGAGCTAGGAGGGCACCCGGGTGTCTCTACCAGCAGGGGTGTCTCTACCACAGGTCAGCCCCCAGCTAAACCTACCCCCTTGGGCTGGGGCCCCAGAGAACCAGGCTCTAGTCCCTGCCTCTGTGCCTCAGTTTCCCTGTCTGTTAAAGGGGGACAATGCCCCTTCATCTGTGCCTTCTCTCTTCAGACTGGGAGCTTTTCGGGGCAAGCCTGTCCCTCACTCTGTATCTGTGCAGCGCCCGGCACGGCCGGGGGGCCCCGATCACAGCCTGGGCAGCTCCCAGCACGGCCGGGGGTCCCCGATCTCGGCCAGGCCTGGACAGCGCCCCTTGATCTCAGCCTGGGCCTCTAGGCATTTCCACGCTCCCAGTGACACTCTGAAGTAGCCTCCCGCAGCAGGTCTTGCTCCGGTTGGCGCCAAGATCGGGGTTTTCGGACGATTTCCAGTGGAGAATTTCAAACTCCTTCTCGGTTCCTTGTTTCATAACTGACATTTCTGCCCTAGTGAGGAATTAACCCTCCCCCCTCGATACTAATTTATTAACCCCAACCCCCCCACACACACTCTGGGCCAGGGGGACGAGCGCCCGGCTCACCCCCAAACCAGGCTGGGCTCCGGCCACGTTTGCCTCCAGTGTCTGTCTGTCAGGGGAGGGGCGGGATCCGCATTGGGGGTGTCAGGGAACAGGCCACTGAGCTGGGACTCATGACACCTGCGGTCTGTTTAGATTGTGAGCTTGTTGGGGCAGGGAGTGTATTTCATTCTGGGTCTGGGCAGCCCCCAGCACAATGGGGGGCCCCCGATATCTCAGCTGGGGTCTGGGTAGCCCCTGGCACAATGGGGGCACCCTGATATCTCAGCTGGGGTCTGGGTAGTCCCTGGCACAATGGGGGCACCCCGATATCTCAGCTGGGGTCTGAGTAGCCCCTGGCACAAAGGGAGCACCCTGATATCTCAGCTGGGGTCTGGGTAGCCCCTGGCACAAAGGGGGGCCCAATCCTAGTTATGGTCTCTAAGGACAGTAGGACTGGTCAGTAATATACCACTTTGCCCCAGCTGAGGATCTGGCCATGAAGTTACGCCAGAATCGTTCCCATCTCGCCCTCTGACCCCTCCGGGCCTGGCTGCCGATTGCCCCTTAGTAACAGCGGGCGCCCTGGGCTGCCGGGTGCAGGGCTGGCCTGGAGCATTTCCCCTGTCACACGTCCCCTGGGGCTGGTCCCCCCCTCGCCCTCCGCCCCGGAGCCCAGCCCTGAACTCAAACCCGCCTCCCCGGGCCCGATGCCGGGGGATTCTCCGGCCTGTTCTCTGGAGGTCGAGGGGGGCGACCGCGCTGCCCAGTGCCAGCTCAAACCTGGCATTTCGTATCCCCCCCCCGCCCCAAACACCTGCATCCCCGTCGGCCCGCGCCCCGCAGAGCAGCCCCCAGGCTCCCGGGTGCCCCCGGGGGCCCGGCAGGAGAAAGGGGGAGGGGACAGATGGAGGGACGTGACACGAATTGCGGGGACTCAGGTTTGCCATCGCGGCGAGGACCTTCTCCCGCCTCGTGGCACCGTTCTCGTGAGGGGCGGGCCCGTCTCTCACCCCCCCCGGATTGTGATCGCTAAGCGGCGCGGGGGCCTTGGCGGGGGGTGTTGGAAAAGAACAATAAACAAGATTTAGTTTATGAAGCTGGGCCGTCCCGCAGCCCTTTCTCAGGGGTTCCCGACAGGGAGAGGTGCCCTGAGCATGTGTGGGTGCAGTGGGGGGTGGGCAGCCCCTTGCTGAAAGAGTATTTCAGTATGACAGGTGGAGCCCACCTCGGGAGGGGGGTTAGTGTGTGTGAATGGACGTGTGTCGGGGGGGGTGAAGCTGTATGGACTGCACGGGGGGCAGGTTGTGGGGAAATGTGTGTGTTGGGGGCTGGGGGAGGGGGCGTCAGGCTGTGCACATGTTGGGCTGGTGGGTGAATGTGTTGCGGCTGGGAAAATAACCCGGAATCCCTATTCCCAGCCCCGCTCTAACCACTAGATTCCACTCCCCTCCCAGAGCTGGGGATAGAACCCAGGAGTCCTGGCTCCCAGCCCCCCTGCTCTAACCACTAGACCCCACTCCCCTCCTGGAGCTGGGGATAGAACCCAGGAGTCCTGGCTCCCAGTCCCTCTGCCCACTGTAACCACTAGCACCCACT